ACTCCGGTAATAAAATCACAAGTCACTTGAAGATATACCACTCGAAAATTATGAGTGCAATGTCGGTAACAATACGGCTGACTGGCTGGATGGCTGACGGTTATGGTTATTAGTTGAGAAAATCGTCATTGTTCCCTAGTCACTCATTCATGCTTTCCGAGAAACATACTAAAAGCCCTTTGGGCTTGCCAAGACGCTAATCGTTTGCGGCATTTTTTTCGTTATGGTCTCCTCTGAAATATTTTTATTTTTTCTATTTGTTCGTTTCAGACGTCAACATGCCTTCGCGGCGAATGGTGTGCAGAAGACCAATGGCGGTGGCAGTTTGACCCACAGCCCGGATCGATTTCGAGGCGCTACTCAAGATCTCTTTGAGTTGTTGGAAAGAGTACAATGTTCGCGGTTAGAAGACCAAAGATGTGAGCTTCCAGCCTACTTTTCCCAGGTATGTACAAGTGCTCTAAACTAACACAGGCTATTCAATAGGGCATATATAAAAATAAGAAAAAGGGACCGGCCTTATGCGAAAGATTAGAAATAATTGTTAATACAAATGTTTCCTTTACCCAATGATGGAGGGTATTAAAAGTTCGGCCCGAGCAAACTTAGCTGCTTTTTACTTGTCTATTATTAAAATGTAACTGAGTGTCTTTTGATTATATGTAATCAGCTCATTTTGACAAGAGATCTTTAATCGCCAGGAATGTTTTTAATCATGTTGCCTTATAGTACGTTTACTTTGGGTTAGGCACATTTGTGAGGATTTATTTAAAGTATCTTGTCCTGATACATCAGTGAAATGAAGCTAGAAATTCAGCCGACATATTGATATTGAAAATTTCTCCATAGGAGAAATTTTTGGGGCGATACATGCCCAGATTCATTTTAAGACCGGCGCGAATCTACATCCTAACAGAATACATTAATGTGTTTTTATGCGGCACACTCCAGAGTCGCAAGTGTTTCCGCAAAGATGTATTTTACATTTCGCATTCAAACAACAACAAAAATCGTAAGATTGTATTTGCTCATGCCGATACATCAATTGCCTCCAACCTAGCTTTTTGTCCATTTTTTGCTACCTCTTTTGGTCATGCATGAATACGTAAATAAACATAAGATGATATTCTCCAGAGGGTGTATCTGAACACACCCTAGATCTATGAGGCCAGTGGGTTAACCTTCAATACTATGAACGCACTTTAAGAAACTACTTGTAGTTTTTCTGTTATTATAAAATAATGTAATGTAATGTAATGTATGTAATTGTAGGTAAATTTAAAAGCACTCAATAGTTTCTATTTTTGGTATGAGGACACCCATTTTTGTGTAGAGCGTGCGTATTTTCGGGAACTACAAAAAGTATTTCTGTTTCTTTCTAAAACAAACAAGTCCCAAATTTCGAACTTCCAGGAGATTTTGCTTTTATTCGTTCATCTATATTTAAATTGGCCATGGCCTAAATCCACGAAATGCTCTTTTCTCCGATCATCCACAACACTTTATTCTGCATTCCATGTCTTTTTTTAAGATTGAGGAGCACGAGTGCAACAGGTTACACGAATGCATGGTAAGATTTAGAAGAAATGCCAAAAGAATTTTAGTTTAATTCAATTCTTTGCTTCCTCTTCTAGTGAGCTTGCGATCTCGTCACTTGGGTAGAAAGGTTTTTTGTCATAGGGGTTATTTTAAAATAACTCCTGGGGAGAATATCCCCAGAAAAAACCAAGAGAACTGGTGGGGTTGGGTGACATGTTATTCAACCGTTGTTTTTATAAACACAATAATTATGGGACAATTAGTTTACAACAACAAAATAATTGAGGAAAAACTCCCAAACATTTCATAGATAAAATATTAAAACTAACTTCATATCGTAAGGTATTTCTGTGCTGAAAAGTACCTACAGTACCTAATGACATCGAGTAACACACGAACAAGTCCAACTCTTCAATAACAGATGCTACTGAAGCGACCTCTAACAAATGAAAATGATGTTTGGTATGTTGGTTGGTGTGTGGCTATGCTTTTGTGTATGTGTACGCTTTGGAGAATAGACTGTAAGGTTGTAGTCCGGGCATCAACCGATGGAATTCTGTGGTGAAATTCAATAAGTTGAAATATTGCAAAGACATATAATATAATAAGATGCGACATTACATTTTCACTTTTCTTCAATAGATGGCGTTGGTAGTGAAAAATTATGTTATGTCACGATATCGTGACATAGCATTATGTTATAATTTAACAGAGCAGACGCTTTTTAACGGTTGTTGTTGATTTTATCGATTCAATGTACGAGGAAATGCTCTGGAATAGATTTTTGAGACCATGTCTATCATACCTGGCATTTTTTTCCTCGTATTTCCGCCAATTTTCGGCGATATCGGAATAACATATTTTTATAAAATTTCCAATGCATTTCTGTTATGTTGCCTGCCATCTGTCACCTGAAAGAAACATTAAAACCCATATGCATTTTGTCCAATCTTTATAGTTTTATGTCTTTGAATATTGCTCAATAGTTTATCTGGTTGCTAAGAGATGGCATTTAAAGAAATTGCCTATAGAATTATGGTATTCTTGAGAATTGCTATCGAAATTCAAAGGAGGGAGATAAAAAAATAATGAGTTGTTTATGTTTCTCATGTAGTTTTTTAGGTGCAAGTAAATATGTACGTACATTATTATATCCTACGCCACCACACTGAGTTGCAGAGTGTTATATGGTTGTCAAAAAATTAGCACATTGTTGCTCATAGTTATTTCAACGAAGACGTATAACAAGTTGGCCAAGTTTGAACGACACAACTCTCAACCTAGAGTTATAGCAATTTGTTTCAATTAATTTTCACAGTAAATCCAAAAACGACAAAAAAAAGCGAAATCTAAGTTTTTTCACGATTTTCTTCTGTTTAAAAGTATTTCATAGTCTATTGGCACAATAACCGAATTATTTTGTATATTTTTGCGACAATACATGCACATAAAACAACGGTGTATATATTTTTATGTTTTGATTAAAAAGGGAGCATATCATTATAAAAAAATTTATTCAATTGTGCACTTCTGGCCAACCATGGTTAAATAATACGGAACATAATCAAGAAAGCTGGTATTTCAATGACCTGTCGGAATGAAAAAGAAAAAAGTATTAGTTGAACTTGTCGAAACACATTTGCAGATTTTTTTAAAATGTTTTTGACATATCAAAATTTAGAAGTGTTGATGCATCTACCAGAATTCTTTTACCGATTCGAAAATGAAATTGGCAACGTGGCAACACCAGCATGCTCCTTACTCTCTTTATCGTAACAGTGAACGTCAGGGATGGAAAATAAAAGTGTGTTAATGGTACTAAAATGGTCATGATTTCAGCGGCATTATTTGCCGGAATTATTTCAAATTTCGTATTATAAAGTTTGTAATGGGTACTACAGCCAATGACAAACGTTTCTGTATGCAGGTCCACGTCTTCGTATATCCCCGATATTCGGTTTTTTTTTCATGATTTTACCAACATTATTTACCGGAATAATTTCAAATTCCGTATTTGAAGTTCGTAATGGATGCTACAGCCTATGACAAAAAGTTTTGTATGCAGTTCCACGTTTTCGTATAGCGCCTATTCGACATTTTCATTATTTGTGCGACATTGTTCAAAGCACTAGCTCTGTAGTACAGTACACATTAATATATTCATAGTATTATGTTTATTATAAATACAATTAATGAACATTACATATTAAATAGTTTAGCATTTCGTTCAAGTTTTAAAATTGTTGACCACGCTTAAAAGCCTGCTAAAAAAAATTGGTTATTATAAAATGTTACAAAATTTCTTTACATGTAATGTGGCGTTTCCACTGCACTTGATTCGCTCTCTATTCGTTGTTTGACCCTTAACTATGAAAAAACTACCTAATTCTTCACACAAAATTTCCTGAGCGAACACTCATATTTGTACGTTGTTCAAATCAAATCACTCTCAGAACAACGAAAAAATATGTCCCATCCCTAACAAATGAGAGCATTTATCGAAAAAATAAATTATGACATTTAAAAATTATAAATAGAAAAATTTAATGAAATTTTGAAAAAATTTGGGAAGGCTGAAATTTATGAATGAAAACTACAATGTAGAATAGCGTATGTACATTCAAACGAAAGTAAATTTTGTTTCCTCTCTCATCCGAGGTACGCATTTTGTCCACGAGTTGAAATTACCACAGAAAACAGGAAACAAAAGAGGCAATATTTTCAAAATGTTTGTATCGGCAGAAAAAATGTTTGACAAGTGTCTCTCCAGCAGAATTAAAAAATAGAAAAATACAAAAATATGTTCAAAATGTCAACATTTACACAAAAAGTTGGAAACGTGAATGAAAATTATAAAATTAATGTTTTAATAAATCTTTGGGAGAAAAATAATAATTTTAGTGAGAATTTAATGTATTTTAGTATAAATTTCCATTAAAATCTACAAACAAAATTTTGAAAAAAGGAATTATTTTACTATGAATTACGAATCGTGCCGTATGAACGGGTTAATTCGTGTACCTAATTCTGAGAGCGAACAACGTTGTTCGGTTTCCAATGGAAACATGCTATTACTCTAACACGATGTGAAAACTAACATTTATTATCAAAATGTTTATTGTTTTTTAATATTTTTACCACTAAAAATACAATCAAAGAAACACAATTTCAATATATGACAAACACATCCAGTTACATTTGGATTTGGGCATATATGTTGAATGTCGTTATGGAATACTTTATTTTTGCCTTTGCGGTACTCATATTAAAATACACTTTTCAAATGGTACTACAATGGTACGATTGCAATGATTTTGCCACCCCTGGTGAACTCTCGCTCTCTCTCTCTCTTATTTTATTCTCTCACTTCGTTTTACATTAAAAATCGATTATTCGATTACACAAGTAGTCATCGCGAAACTAAAAACTCTCAGCAAGTCTTTCGTTTCCATCTTTTATATTTTTATTTGTTAGTGAGAAGTGCTTGAATTCGGAGTGTTCGTAAGCGTTCAACGGCAAAACACCAGACATACATTTTGAAAGAGGAGTGAAATGAAGCAATAATAGAAATATGAATAATTACAAGTTTAACTACTTCGTGGTTGTGGTGACAAAATGGAAATAAACACGAGAAAAACCCGAAGCAGCAGTGTAATGGATAACAATTCAAACGTTTGTATTTAAACTCATCACTGCTTGATGACAAGAATAACGAATAACTAAATAAAAATACTTATTAGCATCCGCGGTGTATTTCGTATTTTGTTGCAAAAAACGGAGAAACCGAAGGAAAAAAGTAAAAACCAAAAAGTGATAATAAAGTGAGTGACAAAAGTGAATGTGTACAACGAACCAAATACGAATGGAAATAAAAAAGAACATCTAGATATGTTTCTTAATAAGTGCAGAACGGCAAAGTAGTTCGTGTTAATTCCGTTTCTGTCCAGCTCAATCCATAGAGATTGGTTAGAGAGAGAACCCTTGTCGGGCGGCGGGCGGACATCTGAATAACCAGTGTGCGGGTCAGAGCTTTAAAAAGTTAAAGCTTGAACAAACAACCGACATTTAAGAAATGTATAAACAAAGCTTGTTAATAAATTTTGTGATTTCGTTCGTGTACAGCACAAAGTTCTCGAAACCAGTCAGACAAGTCGAGCCGAAAAGACAAAACTGAAAAAAGAGTCAGCACAAAGCGAAACAAAATTTCTGTCTGTACCACAACCCATTTCTGCCAACAGTAACAGCATTTGGCAACAACAAAACACAGTCACAACAATACAGGTACTGAGCTCAGTGTTTGAAGGCGAGACAACAACATATCTGCTCGCCCCTCCACATCGGGCTCTAGGAATTGCAGCAAATGTTCATTTAGTCGCCCACTAGAGGAGAAACGGCATTCATTTATGCCTCCTTCCCACCCCCATCTGTTAGCTGTTATCGTTCACCCCACAAATGCAAGTCGCCAATTTTTCTTTGGTTTTTTGAAGTCTCCACATTTCCACAAATAACTTGCCCGTCTTACGTGCGGCGGACCGACCCTAAACCTTATCCCAAGAAAGTTGCCATACTCCACCACCAAACCAAGAATCGTCGGCATTTAAGTCAAAAGTGGCATTTTACACTGAGGGCGCTGAACGTCGTTGGGTACGACAAGCCGTCATGGGGGTATTAAGATGGCGCGATCCCGGATCGCGTATTTCAGTCGGTGGAAACAACCACAATACCAACAATACCAATCATGCAAACGCCAGCAATAACAATAATAGCCGAGTTGAGGTAAGTCGTGAGCGGAAACAGATATGACCCCGCAGCCAGCCGGCAAGTAGGCCCGGCCCCATCAAAAATTGCTACATCTTCGAATATTTTGCATAAAAAAATTTTAGCTACTGCCCCCACCCCATTTGATTTCAAAATGCATTACTATATACGCCTCAGTCCCTGACCAATTCTACATGCATTTGAAGCCCCCCTCTCGTTGATTTTATTAGCTGTATGTTGGTATCACTGACTCATCATTCACTGACTAAAGTAGCAGTTTGGCGTAAGCGAGCACCTTAAAATTACTGGAAATTGTAACTTTCACAAAATTTTCCAGCTAAGTGTGTTTTCTGTGAAAACTGATGAATGCTGCGGGAGTTCAAAATATCGTTTGTATTTCAAGTTAAACCTAAGTATGTCAGAACGAATCTGCGGTTAATCGATGGCGATACTCCTTCCATACACTGGTACTCGCACTCGATATGTACTCGCAAGGGAAGGCAGGAAAGCCGAAATGATGCAATTTTTACCGACCAAATAAAAAAACACAGCCTACGCATGTTTGTCGGTGGTGCATGAAGATAACCCCCGTAACTATCATCGCAATTAACCGCTTCGACAGCAGAAAACTTTCTCTTTTGTTTTGGTTTCCATCTTGAGTGTGGTTGAGCTTTCGACCAGTTTCTTTTCTGTTACACATACGCACACACTCACTGTGGTGTGCGACTTTTTTTGCAGAATATTGCTTTTATATCAATCAGTTAGCGATTAGTCGAAACTATTGCACCGATATGCTCTGTATTTTATCAGGGGCAGGCACACGCTTACTTGACATTACAAAATTGTAGTGGCCGTCGTCGTCAACCACACATATAAATACGAACATGGTTGTGTTCTGTTTGTCTTGCTCTTAGTTGTGACCTGCTCTTAAAGAATGAATGGTATAAATAAACATACATGTATTCAACAAAAAATAGATTGGGATTTCTCTAAATCATCCGATGAGGCAATTATTTTGCCACAAGATCGGATATTTCCCTGGTACACCCTATTCTACGAGTTGTGTGTGTTCACCATACAACTAACTCGTGCCTCCCCCGCTTCCACAGATACATTCTATTTTGGGCAAAGTTGTTGCATGCGCTACCACAAGTTGCGATCACACACTCCGTTTGGAATACTCAGCCACAGGCGGAGTCGCTCATGTGGCAAATGCAGTAAAGGCAATCCGCCTGTTTATTGTTGTTGAAAATCCATTTAGACCGCAGGTACCTTCCTTCGCCTTAATGTTTGAGATTTGCTAATAGGAATTCTTTGCCAATGTCCTTTAAATGTGTACGTCCGTCCGTCCATATGGTGTTCCAGCTGCGTGTCACTTTTACTATTTCAAATTTTGTAATCATTGGTAAATCCATTCGTAATTTGAAATTGTTGAAACAAATGTGTTCAATGTCGTTATCAGCAGCTCGTAACGAGACGACGCAGTTTTCGTTGATGTGGTGGTCTTTCGAAAAGAACTACAGCAAAAATTCGTCGAGCATTTTCATATTCATGCACGATTGTTTAGTAGAACTAATATTTGTGCGCTCACCATACATTCTTGGGCGGTTGAATAAGGTTGTGGTTTTAGTTTGCCCTGGAATTGGTAATGTGGCTCCAAGCCTAAATGACAATGTCTGAAATACTTGTTGTGGTTCAGTCGACTCACTTTGCCTCGATTTATTTGTTAATGATCAACTTACGAAGAAAATCATTTGCAATTGTCTAAAATTTTCCTACTTCAATCCACCTCTTCCTGTTTCTACCTACTTGATAATCCGCCATTATACGTGGGAATAGGTAGGTAGACATTTATGAAGTGTGTAGCTTTGATTACCTCCAACAAAGAGTTTCCACGTCTAGGGGAGACAAACTCGAACTCTGTGCAAAAAGGTAATGCCTTTTGAATTTATTCAACAGTTGTTAATATTAATCATGCGAACGTGAAACCCACCGCTTGTGACTGACTACTCCTTCCCATCGGCGTAGATGTTGACGCCTATTGTAGCTGACTTATAAATGGGATAAATAAAGAAGGTAGTAATGTACATATGTATGTAGGACTCGTATACACTTTCAACACATATTTACTGAAGCATTTTCAACTGCATTACGCCAAGAGTAACCACGAAAACTACTAAAAAAGTTCAGTGCGGAGGGGCCGAACTTTAAATATTCTCTACAATGAGGCAATAAAAACGTTAATAAAAACGTTTGGTGCTATACCAAAACATTAACATACCTAGACTCTTGTCTCCTATAGTGATTGCTTGCGATTGTATGTTAAAAAATACCAAATTTAAAACAATTCCGTTAGAAAATCTGGCCAAACACATTAAATAAATCCTAATATGGGATGGTACCGTTTGCCATTGAGAAAAGTTGCTCATATCTTCGGAATATCGGGAGTTACGGTAGTTGGGGGCATTAGAAAATGGCAACAAAATACCGAATTTAACAACGACATTAAAAATGTGACTAAAAACATCATCACATGGGGGCCAAAGAAAAACGTGGACAAACGGGCATAATTTAATCGGTTTTTTAATTCAGTGATAATCACGCATAAATACGGAGTGTAGGAATAGGGATCACTTGCATGCAAATCGTCCGCCTCCAGCAAAAGACTTTAAAATCAATGCATAACCAACGCATACACACACATGTAAATTTACCTAGTAGCCACTTGCAGGAGAGTACGTTCATTCCAATGAAAATATTGCATAAAGTAAGAATTGGTTCTTTTAAAATCGTTTGAACAGCAATTTGATGTAAATCATTTGTTTATAAAATATCGCAAACTAATGTGCACGGAAAATACTATAATTCGTAAAATATATACCCAAATCCGCATTTCATTTTCAGTTCTAGATCTGGAAATAATAACCGGTTTTGAGTTCGCTAGATTTTACTGGAAAATTACAAACTTGTCTAAATTAGGCAACAGCTAGAATCGACATTGGATGGGGGTTGCACTCATTTTTTTATGCGGGATTTTTCAATTAGAGACATAGCAGTAGGTTTAAGATGAACTCTATTTTTAAAATATTAATGGAAAACATACAATTACTTTCAACGTAGCCACACAAATCCTTTGTTTGCCATTCCAGCAATGCCAAACAATATATATTCCCACATCTGCTATTGGTACGTGTTGTGCATAACAATAGTATTACTAGTAGTAGCTGATTCTTTTTTGTGCCATACAAACAAAATGTTTATGGCCAAAAACTCTAATAGCTTGCTCGACGAACCCAAATCAATTGCATTTTCTCTGCATCATCCAATTCAGACAGGTGTGTTGGGGTGAGGAACAATTTTCCAATAGATTTTTTAGCAAACTGACGGAACTTTGATAGACAATATTCCAAAGATATTATTAAATTATATCGATATCTTTGCCCCCAGAAAATGTTGAGAATTTATATTCGAGTCATTCAAAATATTCACAGGACCACCGATTAAATTATGCGTTATGACATCGTAATATATAATAAGCTTCGCGTCAATTGCAACACTATTTTCCTTTTGTCATTCGTTATAGAAAATCATATGTCTATACAAAAATTTATTATCTTACAGATATGACGCTGATGCCCAGTCTTATCGCGACAACAGACCACACAAATGGGAAAAAACAATGTGCGAAGGAAATCGTGATGAGTATTTCAATACACCATTAAAGACATTTCTTTGTTCGCTGCCGGTTTTTTGCGTCTCAATGCAATTCTATATGAGCCTACCCGTTTATTCATTTTATTCTTGGGGTTTTGGGTAGGGGCTAGATAGCATCTACGTGTAATCAATCTCTAACGTCTTTAGCAAGTGTTATTCTTTTGAACAAACAATGAAATGAATGAGGTTAAGGTCCTCGCTTAGATACATGCGTTAGCAGACGAAAACATATTCGGTGCAAAACTTCGTTATCTTGGTTTTTCTTGGTTAAAGATTGCAGTTACGCGTACCTACCTTCCTCAACATTACCTCAGACGTGTATGGTTATAGAAGTTGCGTCGTTAATGGCCCAGCTGTTATACGTAATGTTAGTTGATTTACATATATTTTTACGTTTGTTCTTTTTGGGACATGTGTATATATGTTTGCACATATGTGTCATAAAAAAAACTGAATGCCCATAATAGGACTTCTACACAATAGACTGCCATTATTGCGACCGGTAATGTTGGAAGTTCGCTTTTGCATTTTGAACGTTTGTCAAGCCCACCACATATAATCCATACACACACATAAGTAAAAACGTAATAAATGTTTATTCGTAAACATTATATAAATTACGTGTCTTTAAGTTGACGGTCGGTTTGTAAGTTTGTGAAATTTGTGAGTATCCGTCCATTGAAGAGACCAAAGACGACAAGCGTTGGTTCAAGCTTTTACAATATCTAATGATACCTGCATTTATCATTATATCCAAGGCAAACGTAAGACAGAAATTTTATCTTATATCGGCTCGCCGATTTATTTTACTTTTATTAAAATTGAGGAGAGTTCTAAAACTATGTGACTGCAAAATGCCGAAAATTAAATAAGAAGTGATTTGGATAAACACTGAAAGACAAAATTCATTTTAGAACAATCGGAATCAATCTAGCAGTATCCGTCTGTTTTATTCTCTCGAATAGATTATCCGATTTCACCCAAACTTCTTACATCGCAACTCCTTCTGGTTCAGCTATTTTGTTGTTGGAGCTGATCATCCGATTTTCTGAAAACTCCCATAAAGTGGGAAATAAGACTCCATTTGTCTTTAAATTTTGCACATCTCAATGTTTATACTAACTCTAGTAAGCACATAGAAAAAAACGTACCAACGAGTCAAAGCTTTGAATAACCATAACGCTCATTTATTTTGGCTGCAAGTTTTACAAGTTTTCGAACACACAACACATTTATATAAATTCGTCTAGCGTATAAAATTTCAAAGTTGAACAACATAAATATTGACACAACTTATTTTTCTT